GCCCCCCGTGGGGCTGCCACCACCCAGCTGCTCCTCCTCCTCCTCCCAGCCTGCACGCAGCCTCAAGGAGCCGCCGGCCGGCTCCAGCCTCCTCCCGCAAACAGCGAACGGCTTCTCCTCTCTCCGCGGGCACCGTGCTGCAAGGCAGGGCCTGGGGACGGGGGACCCTGGCCTTGGGGGTCCCCAGCGCTGGGCGGGGGCCGGGCTGTGCCCCCTGCGCTGGGGCAAACACAAAGGGCTCTTACTTCTACTGGGAGAGTTCCAGAGGGTGGCGGAGGATTTGGAGAGCCGCTTGTTGATTATAGAGTCGACGTGTTTGGGGAGGTTTACAGCGGACACCGAGCACCGGCTCGCACCTGGAGGAGGGAAAAGACACAAGGACATTAAGGTCCCGGGGCCGGGGCCAGGACCCCCACATGCAGCATGCACGGCCGTGCCGGGGCGCTGGGGCAGGAGCAGGAGGACACGGCACAGAGAGTGGGGCCAGGAGATGCTGGTGTCCAGGGACACGATACACGGCGCTGGCATCTGGCACGGCACGGTGCCCGAGCCCTGGGGGTCATGCTGGGATCATGCAGGGATCTCATCCTCGAGGAGCCAGGGTGGCTCCCGGGCCCTGCCACACCAGTCTCCCCAAAAGCAGTCCTGGGAACTGGGAGCCTGGTTGCCAGGGACCTCAGCAGCACTGGGCGAGCAGCCAGCCTGGAGGAGCAGGTTGAGGGCAGCAGGTCCAGACAGACACAGGACAACGCTCACACCAGTGTCAGGTCACTACGGCAGTGCCAGGAGGGTGCTGGTGGCCGGCAGCACCTCCACAGGGCACTGGGATCCCTCCACCCCGGCTGGGCTCCTCCGGAGAAAATGCCCAGGGGAGCTCGCTGCCAGTGGAGGCGGCAGCCAGGAGATTGGCGAGTGAGAGCGCTGGCAGCAGCTCGGGCAGCACGTCCCCACGGGAGGTGGCAGGGGAAGGTGTCCCCTTGCCGCACCCTGCCAGGCGCTGCACCATGGACACATGGGTCTGTCCCCGAGTGTGCCACGAGCCACAGACGAACGCACAGCACCCGGACGCACAGCCCAGACAGGCGTAACCAGAACATGGCGCCTGTACACACAGCCCGGCCAGGCACAGCCGGGCACACACCACCTGTAAACACATGGTGCCAGGCACATGGTGCCAGTACACACAGCCTGGCACGCAACGCCTGTACACACAGCCCGGCCAGGCACAGCCAGGGCTGCCACAGCCACCCCACGGCACAAACAGGGCAGACAGACCCCGGGGGCACAGCGCTCCCATCTATGCCATCGGCCTGCCATCAGAAATGTCAGGCAGTGCCAGCGCTCCCCGGCACAGCCCTGTCCCCTTGGCAGTCAGGCGACAGGGGAGACCTCCACATGCCCAACCCCGGTGCTGAACCCCGCAGGGTGTCCCTGAGGAGCCCCCAAGGAGAGGGGCTAGCTGGGCTCAATGCTCTGGCTGTGGGGCAGGGGGCAGGGCTGAGCCCCCGGCAGCCGCCGCAGGGGCACGGCACGGCACGACACAGTGAGGCACGGCACAGCCATGCACACCCAGGAGCACACACAGCTACAGACACCCCCATGTTGGAGCTGGAGGGGCCAAGCCCTGCCCCTATCCAGCTGGGGGAAAAGGGGACACGCCGCAGCACAGACCCCAACAAGAGACGGCAATGGCCTCACATGGCTCCACAACCCATGCCCGACTCCTCCCAGCTGCTGGAGACCCGGGCAGCGTGGCCACGGCATCCCCGCAGGCAGCCAGGGCTGTCCCCAAGCACGTCCCTGCGCAGAACAGTGACCGTGACGCACAGCCTCCAGCTTACGCCCAGCCCCACGAGAGCAGGGAAAAGCCAAAGGGCCATCGGGCCCCGGCACAGCCCGGCACAAACCGGCACAGCCTGGGGTGACAGCAGCATGACCCCACAGCAGAGTGGGGCTGAGCTGGGTTTGTGGGGTCTCGCCCTCCTTGCACAGAGCACCGCAGAGCCGTGCCCAGCCACCCCCGCCGCCGGCAGAGCCGTGGGGCCCTGGGTGCCCTCGCCCAGCCTGGCACTCACCATCCTTGTGTGCAGGGGAGCCGTGGTGCAGGGCCCCAGCCCAGGACCACCGCTGCTGCCGGATCTCTGCCCACGTCTTCTTGGCCGACCGCTGGATCGCTGCCTCGTAGCGCTCCTGCCCGAGCAAGAGGGACAGGGTGAGGCCAGTGGCTGGGGGAACGGGGCTGGGACTGGCTGGAGCCTCCCGGCATGAGGCTATTGCAGCTATGGGGATGCTTGGAGGGAGACGGGGCAGTGATGCCCACCCTGGCCCGGGCACATGTGCCCAAGGAACTGGGCATCGCGGAGGCTCTGCACCATGAAGGGTGGGCACCACGGAGAACGGGCACGGTGGGCAGCTCCCGAAGGGCTGCTGGAGCCACAAGGTCTCCCCAGGGAGCGCACCCCCGGCATGCCGCCCCAGCCCCCCGCCTGTGATACCCCATTCCTACCTTGTTCTTCTCCAGCTTCTGCCTCTGCCGCTCCTCCAGGACGGCACGGCGCTTCTCCGCCTTCAGCCGCTGCTCCTCCAGGCGCTTGCGGCGCTCCTCCAGCTGCTTCTC